GAGAGAAATTAATCACAACTTCGTCACTGCTATTAGCACCCCTACTGCTGCTGTAAAAGTCTGGGAATGATGCAGCCGGTGCGGTCCCTCTGAGCAGGACTTGCTAGAAACAAGCAGCTTGGCACATGAAACATCATTCCATGTTTCAGGCCTTGTGCACGTCTCTGTTCATCGCCTGGGAAATGAATCTCATATGATTTCACTATTTCACTTTGGTTTTGAGAGCCAGCTGGGGAAGAAAAAACGGGCATTGCAAATGTAAAGATGCGAATACTATTCTGAAAAGACAAACAGAAAGGAGCCTGCATGCTTGATACCTTTCAGTCTCCTGGATGCAGTGTATGCGGGCAGCCCTCTACTGGTATAAACACCACTGATCATGTTTGCCCAGCACCCGTGCTCTTCCGTTTTCTTCTCAGGCAGAATCAGAGCAGCTTTTCATTAGTTGTAGGGTATATTCAGCTAGTCTACATACTTGATCAGTGCTCTGACTTAGGTGTCTCTGGGCTTCTCTGGGCAACCTGAACAGGTTCATACAACCTTCACAGTAAAGAACTTTTTCTAGTATCTTCTCTAAATCTCTCCTGTCAGGTTAAAGCCATTCCCCCTTTTCTTATAACTAACTGCCCTTGCCAAAAGGCCCCTCTCCAGATTTCTTGTAGGCCCCCTTTAGGTACTGGAAGAATGTTATAAGGTCTCCCCTTAAGGGGCCTTCTGTTCTCCAGGCTGAACCAGCCCAGCTCCCTCAGCATGTCTCCAGAGGAGAGCTGTTCCAGCCCTGACAGCATCTCTATGGCCTCCCCTGGACTCTCTTCAACAGCTCCAAGTCCTTCTTATGATGAGAGCCCCAGGGCTGGATGCAGGACTGCAGGGGGGGTCTCATCAGGACAGAGTAGAGGGGGAGAATAGCTTCCCTTGACCTGCTGGTGATGCTTCTAAAGCTGTTGGTTTACTTGAGTATAATATGGTATTTCCTTCAAAAATGCACATCAAAAAGAATAACTGAAACATGAAATTTATCCCAATTCTAGTAAAAACGCATGCAAGGCACCTTAGGATTTGCTGCCTTCAGAGAACACAGCTTGATTTCAGGGAGTCTGACTTGCCTGGATGAAAATTAGTTTTTAATACATTTGGTTGTCAGAGGGATTATGCAGGAATCTGGAATGGCAGGCCATTCCTACAGTGCTTTGCTGTGGAGGTGTTTGCTAGTGGCCAGTAGGCAAGGAATAGTGGCGTGTGTTTTCCACAGAGAGCAAGGACTGATGCCAGACTGTACCAGGCAGAGGTTCCCTGGGGAGCTGAAGGGAGTTGCCAGGAGACATCACCAGATCGAGTGTTCACAGAGACAGACTCAAGACTCCCTCCTATGTTTGCATACCAGCCTGTTTTGCAATCATTCTTCACATGATTTCCTTTACAATCTCCCAAATATCCCCACCACTTACTAGAATTTACCAGCTTTGAGAAATTTTATGTGATATGAAGCCCACTTTCTGGTTCTTTAATGTGAGCATTTTACCCTTAGAGGCATCACACATCAGTAAAGATCCAGCTCACGAGCCAGTTGAGCCACACTCCTTGTAACAAGGATTGAAACACAGTGTATGCTATGTCCCAGTTTAGAGGGGACCTGCTTCATGGGCAGGACAAAGACCAGCAGCACTTCCATAAATTAGTAAGCTCTGAGCTTCCAGAAGTTAGGTCTCAAAGAATCATGACATTGTTTGAATATTCAGCAAAACAGGAGTAATAAAAAGACACATATAGTTACAGACGTACAATAAACGTTATTTATGTGTTAGTCTTCAGGGCCTTCAGATTCAGCGAGTCATTTTCTCAGTCCCCTCTTCAGAAGCATAAAGCCTTAAAAATCATGATTATCAATTCCAGAACATGGGGCTTCAAGATTTGCCATCAAAACTCCAAGAAATCCATGAGGGCTGTCAGATCATGGACACTCATTCTAACAAAGCCAAAGCCTCCCTTCCACTTCAAATGTAAGATATTTAGTCAGTGGACACAGTTCCTCTGTGCTGCATCAGCACCTGTCTTTTGCCAGTCAGCCCTGAGGAAGAGGTGACCTAACATCCCCTTCACTGTCTTCAGTCAGTCTGAGCCTCTCTGCAAGCGATCTGACAATCCTTGCTGACAAATAACAAGCCCACAAAGAGACAAGTCAAAAGATGTAGAAATGTTGTGATGAAATACTTCAGTGTACTATTTAAATTCACCTGACAAATGTTCCTCTGTTATTTTCCCAGACCAAGCATCTCTGAATCATGATAATATAAAGGAATCATTCCCCAGAATGTTCTCCATCTAATTTTCACAGTTCCCTATAGTAACAGAAATACCCCTCATAGGTACAGCAATACATCTGAATGACAAATGTAAAGGAAGTAAACATTTTTTCAGTTAAAATTTATATAAAGCCAACTAGAAATAGAAGTAAGACTATCTTTACTCCTTTTTCACATTCATAAACATACAAAAAGTACTGAAGCTTAATGTAAATTTAGTGTGGAGAAATCTAATAGCTCTCTTGTGCCTCATGTCAGCCACTGCACCATTATATCACAAGCCAAATGGAGAATCAATCTGTGCACAAAATACAGGGTAAAAGAAAGACAGGGTTGTATGTTTAACTAACTAGTCATTGGGTTTTTGATTCAAAGAAAATCAGACTTTGTAGGCTTTGAGCTTTACCTGCCTTTCTGTTGGTGTGTATGTTTTAATGATTCATTATGGTTCATTATGTGATACCTTGTCTCCAGCCTGTGCGTTTCAGGAGTCATCAGAGTTTTAGTGCACCAGTTATGAGTTAGTCTTCAAAGTTCAAGAGCAAACTGAGGGCAGAACATAGTTTTCAGACACCAAGATGTGAACTGACTGGTTTACTTTTGTGCATTTTCTCACTCCTGAATAATATAATTATGGAGCTTTCAGGGCAAACTTTGGCAAGCTGAGCTGAATACAAACTGACAGTGCTCAAAACTGAGCCATCCAGAAACATTTCAAATAGAAGCCAAGGAGAAAGGAGGAGGCACACATCATCTCTCACTTTAAAAAAAACAGCTTGCACTCCTGCCATCTTCAGTTTTTTGCTCAGATGTTGTCATGGGAAGAACACATTAGAATATAAATTATGCCATATAAAGCACAGATGGGAGCAATCTTTCACAAGAATGTATATTCCATTTTAGCCCTCTCTCTGGTGTCTTGGACTACATTATGTCAGATTGAGCCCATATCTCTTGAATGCCCCTCATAGTATCTCACACACATATCCTGGAGTTAAAACAACTGGCATTGGAAAGAGACTCGCCAACACAAGCAGGGATATGTTCACCCAAGGTCTGCCCCAAAGGGAAACTGCCTTAAAGCCATAAGGGATCAGCTCCAAGTATCTCATTCTGCAAATGATCTGTACTTCTCATGGACCAGAGAATAAGTGCTCATGGACAAAACTGTACCCTACACAACTTTTAATGAAAATAGCAGGCACAAATTACCATGAGATCGAGTCCTGTAATGGATGGCTTTCCCTTTTCTCTTTACTTTGAAATCATCCTGACAAGCCTAACTCCATGTGCAAATGGGATGCATCCTCCACTAAAAACAAAGCAAATTTAAGTCACTGCAATGTTACTTTTGAGTATTTTCTTCTAGTCCCTACCCAGCGTGATGCTGGGAATATAAGCTGCAGAGGATACTGACTTTCAGTGACACATGGAAAATACCAAGCTGGAATCACACAGACCTGCTCCATACCACAGAAATAATTCCAGTAATTTCTGAATTCTCATCATTCTAGAAAGCAAGTGAGCAAAACAGGGTCCTGTAGAAGTGAAATTCAGCATACATAAAAAAAAAAATGAAAAGAATCAAATGCAAAACCTGATGATTGTTGTACATGAATCTGTACACAATGTATTGTAAAAATAGCTATATTAACCCTTATTTCAAACAACACTGTATATAACATCTTCCACAAGGAGACTGAAAAGGGATTCAGTGTAAGGACTCCCTGTTGACAGGTGCTCACTTGCTCACTCCTCGACGTTTTTGATTAAGAAATCTGAACTACAGATTCCTGTTCTAACTGCAGAATCAATGTGTGGGTGTATCATGATGGTGAGGGTTTTTTTCAATTTGGGCAGAGTAAGAGCATGCATTTGGTTATTTACAGTGCTTTAGATACAAATGAGCAGTAATTTCCTAAACTACTGTGATTAACCTACTATAAAATAATTACATAAACAGGAAAACACTCCAATGTATTTAAATTCTATCTCTTAATAAATTGCAATCATATAATTATCCTGAACTTAACCTTTTATGACAAAGTTTATGTCCTGACCCACATCTCTGATAAACAATGAAAAATTTATCATCCTTCCTTTCAGCCCAAAATCTGACTTCCTGCCATCAATTGTCAGGATCTTGACCGCACTAATAAAGCTCATCCAGTTTCAACCCTCTGCCATGGGCAAGGACACCTTCCACTACCCCAGGCTGCTCCAAACCCCGTCCAAGCTGGTCTTAAACACTGCCAAGGATGGGGCACCCACAGCTTCTCTGGGCAACCTCTGCCAATGCATCACCCTCAATAGTAGAGAATTTATTCTTAATATCTAATCCAAATCTGCCCTCTTTCAGTTTAAAACCCTTATCCCTCATCCTATTATACTCTCTGTTAAAAGAATTCTTCCCCATCTTTTCCTGTGGGCCCCTTTAGGCACTGGAAGCTGCTCTAAGGTCTCCTGGGAGCATTCTCTTCCTGGGAGCATTCTCTTCCCCAGACTGAACAACCCCAGCTCTCTCAGCCTATCCTCCTAGGGAAGGTGCTATCTTTGTGGCCCTCCTCCTCACCCGCTTAAGCAGGTCTGTATCTTATGCTGGGATGACAGAGGTGAGTTGTAGGTGTCCTTGCTGCTAATTCTGTTCCTGAATTGCTATTTGGGTTTCCTGGATTGATCATGCAAATAGCAGGTTACCTTGTGTTTGCCTGATGGTCGCGGGACTGCTGGACCTGTTGCTGCCTCTGCTCTTGCTTGCTTTTCTCTGGTGAGGGTCAGGCTGTGCTCTGTTGGAGAGGTGTTTGCCTGGCTTGTGTTTTGGTCACCCTCAGCTCCTGGCTTCCTTGTCCTGAGGGACAGCAGTAAGAGCTGGATGAGGCTGGTCAGGGCCACCCTGTGCATTCAGGACTCTGATATTGTTTCGCTCTACAGCCTGTTTCCCAAGATAAAGTACCACCCTCCCCCTGGCCATGTCTGCTGTCAGCACCATTTGCTTGAATAAAAAAATAAATTCATTTCAGTGTGGCTCATTATGCTAAATGAAAGCAACGGGGGGCTAATGAGCATTGTGAATGAGCCATTAACATGACAATCAGCGCTATCCTCAAGATAGCTACATCTTTCCTACATCTTTCTTGGAACACTCAGTAGCATTATACAGATGTGGCCTCATCTATTAAATTTAATTCAGGAAACAAATAGATTTATATGTCTGAGTAGTTTCTTTCTGTAGAATTGTACATTGTGTTACACTTGCAATTAATAACAAAGCCCTGATAGTTCATTTTGTGGAACTGCTAAGGGGTTAGTCTTAGTCTTCAGTGGACAGGACTGTGCTAACAGAGTTAATGTTTGGATTATTTGGAACCCAGAATGTTGTCCCTCTCCCACTTCCCCCTGGTTTTCATCACGAAAGGGAAATGTACCTGAAACAATAAATTTACTAATGACTTCATCTTTGCAATGGAGTTAATGTGGTTTAAACAGCATTTTTATATTTCAGAAGTGGCCTTCACCTCCAGCCTCAGCTCCTGCCTGATTCACTGTCCCTTGGCTCTGAGGATCACATTCCACAGGAAGCTGACATGCCTTTGCTCAAGGAAGCAGTCTCCTCAGACCTCTTAAGAAGGCAGGAAGACTGCCCTGAAACAGCATCAGAAAGATGTGTGCTTAAAGGGCAATAGGGAGGAGGAGAAACCTACTTGTATTCAGTGATACTCAGAATGTGTCTTTCAGAAGGCCAAGGGAAGAAGGCAAAAAAAAACCCTCTTCAGTGTTTTCAGACACTGCTGCATTGAAGGTTTTTAGAACACTCAATTGTCTGCACATGATCGCCTCCACGAAAAGCTTTTCATAGCACTGCCTTGTAGCTGGAGACACAGAAGATGAGCAGCTCCCCAAGGAGCTAACACTGGTCACTGGCGAAGTGAGGGAAAGAAACCCGGAGGATCTGAAAAGGATTCCAGGGTTTTCCTTGAGTTGCAGTCTCAGCTCCTGTGACAGGTTCATCCATTCAGACCGCACAACTCTTATGTCTGACCTCTTGGAATCAAGTAAGTCAGCAGAGAGCAGTTTCTATGGGTTTGCATCATTTCTGGGGGAGTGGGCACAGGATATTTACATAGCCAGAATTACTGAAGCTGTCTAACAAAAACACAGAATGCAGAGTTCAAACTATGTCTTTTTCCCTTCTGTTTCCCACCTTCACCAGTCCCTGTGGCATCAATGGAAGGAGAAACCCCCCCAAGCTCATTCGCTGGCAGAAACTGATACCATCTTCTCCTGCCTCCACTCATCTGAAGGCAGGTTTGTATCCCCCTGCCTTTGCTCTGCAACGCTGCAAGTTCCCAGGCGATGCTCTCACCACGAGCGGTGTGTCCCAGAGAGGCACAATGCTCAAGGGGATGTGTCAGGCCCTGGGCCGCCATTGCAGGACCCACTGCTCAACTGCTTCAGGCAACGGCTCAGAAACACCAATCTCCTCCTAAGCACGAGTGAGCGCTCCGTTACCACGATCCTTTCGCGCTTTCTCAGTCACAGCAGGAGGACCCGAACGCCGATCCCGGCCCTGCCCCATCCCCCGCTCGCTGGGCGGAGAGAGCGGGGCCGTGAGGAGAAGGGGGCGTGTCCCCGTGGCGCCCTCAGCCTGGCCGCCATTTTGGGGCGGGCGGTGCACGGCGCCCTCTGTCGGGTCCCCGCTCGGCGCTGGGGCCGCCGGCCATGAAGTCAGTTCTCGTCACCGTGGGTACCACCAGCTTCGATGACCTGATCGCGGCCGTCTGCTCCCCGCCCGCGCTGCAGGTGAGCCCGGCCCCGCCGCGCCGCCGCGCCCGCCGCACGGCCTGCCCCGCCGCTTCAACCGCGCGCCTGCGCGCTGCGAGCTGCTCCGCCCTCCCCATTCCCGCCAGCGCCTGTCTGACGCGGCACGGGGAGCGGGGAGTTGCGGGGAGCGTGAGGGGCACGGTCTGTGGTACGGAGGCAGAGGGTAGCAGTGGCCCCGGTGCCCGACCTAGGTACACGCAAGCCGCCATTCCGCCGCCCTTCCGCCGCAGGTGCTGCAGAGCCTTGGCTACGGGAAGCTGGTGCTGCAGATGGGGCGATGCGCGCTGGACCCGGCGCTGCTCGGCAGCCCGGGCGTGGCCGTGGAAGTGGAAGCCTTCCGCTACAAGGAGTCTCTGGCTGAGGACCTGCGGAGGGCGGACCTGGTCATCAGCCACGCAGGTAGAGCCCCGGCTGCTTGCCGAGCCTGTTCTCCTCGGGCACGAGTGGAAGTCGGTTGGATGAAGTCTGTTCCTCAACAGCTCGGGGTGGGCTGGCAGTGAGTTCATGCCCACACCTGAGATGAGTGGTTAAATGTTCACCGTCGGGAGTCCCCTGTGCTGCAAGAGCGAACAGGGGGATGGATATTTCATGTATCAGGGCAGAAACTCAGCGTGTTTTCTGTTTCTCCTCTAGGCGCAGGTAGCTGTCTGGAGACTCTAGAAAAAGGAAAACCACTAATAGTAGTAATAAATGAGAAGCTGATGAACAACCATCAGCTTGAACTGGCGAAACAGCTCCACAAAGATGGGCATGTCCTCTACTGTAACTGCAGGTATGGAGCTGCTATGGCTGTCCTAGCTGAGCAAGGAGGGTTCAGCATCGGCACTGGCTTACAGCACTGAGAATGTGGCAGGGAAATCTGCATCCTTCTCTGTAACAGCCATTTGTTTGCAAGGTAGATTTCCCGCAGTGGATCGGTTCCAATTCACCAACAGCCATGCTTTTTGACCACGGCTCCTTTTAAATCTTTTATTAAGTAGAAACGGGGCACAAGCATAAGGTACTTCCTTGGGTTAGTTTCCCTCTCATGCTCTTAAGTGCTTTGATTGAGGGGGGATTCCTAAACAGATGCTGTCTGGTTAGTAATTTTCAATATCTCCTTTTTCCAAGTACCTTCTTGGGCTGCCTTTTCAACCAAACTTCCTGAATGCACCACATCCTCTGACAAGGAGTTGCACAGATTGCTGCCTGTCACTTCAGGGGAACAAAACAAAACACTACAAAACCCCAGAACAAACCACCAAGCAGCCAACCTCCCAGAGAAGTACCACTGCCAAAACACAGCCCCCCCTCCCCCCAATAACACCACCAAAACAGCCAGCTCCTTTTATTTGTTTATCCTAGCTCCTGTTAGATTCATTTGATCTCTTGTTTTGACTGTATGTTACTGTTTTTTCTTTATGATTGATTGCACTCTATAAATAACAGCTGACCCCTAAGTTGAAGGCAGAGGAAGTGTAACTCCTGTTCCTTAGTCTGTATCTTACTCCTTTGCCCTGCAAATGGGATTTCATGTTTTGGGAGAGCTTTCTTAAAACACGAGGCCTGTCACTCACTTCTGTTGGGCAAGTCCCTTACCTTATTATCTCAGTGCTTCTGACAGCTTTGGAGACAGGAAGGAATTTTTGTTGAGCAGTGCCTGGCATCAGAGTCTTTATTTGCAGCCTGACAAAACCAAGCAAACATTGATTTAACTGTTCTTCTGGCTATGTGTTAAGTGGAGAACTATGCCATGTGTTCAGCTAGGATGGGTATTCTGGGATGGTTTATGGTGAAGATCCTCAGGTCTTGTTGAGTCACCCAACATTGCAGCCAGAGATAAGAGCTGAGATTGTTTGTGACAGATTGAAGCGTGGTCTCAGCAGTGCTGTCTGTGAGCAGTGGGCGCTGGGGCCCACTGCTTTGTGGGGGTCTGTTTCAATACACTTCCTTATTTTTGCTTCCATGCTAAAGGATTATGTATGGATTAATAGAAAGAAACTTGTGTGGAGAAAAAAAAATTCCCTTTGGAGTGGATTTCTTTTTAATGTCGGGTTTTGGTCTGTTTCTACAGCACTCTTGTGGAGACACTGCAGTCGATGGAGTTACCAACTTTGAAACCTTTTCCTCCTGGACAGCCAGAAAAGTTTGCTTTGTTCTTGGATCAAGTTTTTGGGATTCAATAAATAATACAGAGGAATAAAAATGACAGAATTAAACCTTTATTCCTCTCCTAGTGAGGTCTTCCATACTTAAAGAGTCCAGCAGCTGGGACAAACCCTCAAAGAACATGTCTTAGCATTAACCAATGTTAAATGGTTCCTGTCTAGCACGGGTTCAGAGTTATCTATGCTACAAAGAACAGAGTGCCAACAAGGAAGGGGAGTATGAACTGTCAAGTTTCTTGAACAGACACATATTTGCCTCATAAAATCTGCAGGAGTTGGTGATTGCAGTGAGGAGGACAAGCTAAATTACTTCTTAACCAGTATGGCATGCACGTCCTTGTCTCTTGACCATACTTTCCTAGTTCTAGTGGAAGTAAGTTGTTCTTTTTGATGTTCCTGTGATGTTCTGCAAATGAGCAGATGTCTTCAGCTCTCATGTGTTTACAGAAGCACTGAATGGAGAATTGAAACATAAATTGAAGCCTCTTCAAAGGGAAGGGGCATGTATGTGGTAAATCTGGGTGGGAAGAGTCAAGAGTTGCAAATCTGCTGCCAAACTGCCCCCCAAAATACAGCATGACCCATAGGAGAGGAACTGGCTGGGCAATGCAGTCAATCCATTCACGCAGCTATGCCATCATTACTTGGTTTGGACTTCTCTGGAGTGCGGTGTTTCCTGTTTGATGCTGACTGGAGCTCCCCACTTCAAGTGTTGAAATTGTCAACTGTGTTGATGCTCCCATCCATTGGTTTAAGTAAATACTCTGAAAAACGTTCACGCAGGCTGTTTGGTCTCTAATCTCCAGAATTGTCTCAGTGTGCAGCTGGTGCTGACAGCTCTGCCTGCAGGTACATTGCTTGGCTGGGTTTTGTTGGGTTCTCTTTTTTTGGTTGCTGTTGCTTAAACAAAGGAAATAACTCCTGGATCAGTGCATCTGATGTCCTAGCGCCATTTTGACCAGCAAGTTAAATGTGCATGGAATCACGTTCCCAATCAAATGAAGCACAAGGGTTACAAGAGTAGACAGTGCTTCACTGTCGTGCGAGTGATTTTTGCAAAGTTTTCCCTGAACACTTTATTAGAGGAATTTTTCACTTCATGATTTCTATGGAGCTGGTGTTATTTCCAGTTTACTGCTCACTCAGCTCCAGCCTGAGAGCGTGCAGGAATGTTGCAGGCAGTTTTGAATGACCAGTTGGCAAGGGCGTAGCAAGGGTTCCCTTCTCTCCCACGCTCCCAGGCAGAGGTTCTCTAAAGGAAAGATGGGGAAAGACTTTTTAGCAAGGCCTGCTGCGCTAGGATGGGTTTAAACTAAAAGAGGGGCGATTCGGGCTGGATGTGAGGAGAAAAAAAACAACACAAAATCTTTACAAGGAGGGTGGTAAAACAGACGCCCAGGGTGCCTGGAGAAGTGGAGACACTCCAGGCCAGGCTGGATGTGGTTCTGGGCAGCCTGATCTAGTTGGAGATGTCCTTTCTCATTGCAGGGGGTTGGACGAGATGAGCTTTGAGGGTCCCTTCCAACCCAAACTCGTTTATTCTGTGATTCTATGACCTCCGTAGGGGTTATCGATGTTCGAGGGACTCGAACCCACGGTCCCGGCCGGCCCTTCCGGTCGTTAAGGGTAGAACGGAGCAGGGACCGGGGGGCTCCTGGCGGGCACCGTAAAATGGCCGCGGCGGGGTCTCCGCCGCCGGGCCGCGCTCGGGGTCGACCCGCGCTCGGGGCCGCTGTCGGTGGCCGGCGGGCAGGGAGGGGAATGCGGGAGCCGGACCGGGCCGTGCTCGGGGCTGCTCTCCGTGTGCGGCGGGCAAGGAAGGGGGTGCTGCGGCCGGGCCGGGCGCAGGTGGGCGCGTTGTGCGGCGGCCCCTCATTAGCAGCAGCCGCGCGGCGAGGCCCCACGCGCCGCTCAGCGCAGCGCTCTGCGTGGAGCTCCCGCGTGCCGTGGCCGCTTCAGCCGCTGCCGCCTTCGCCTCAGCCGCTGCCACCCGCGACGATGCAGAAGGGCTGGAAGAAGTACTTCGGGCAGAAGTCCTTCAGCGAGGTGGCCATGGACAAGTACCTGGGCAGCCTGGGGCTGTACCGCAAGGTGACGGCGAAGGACACCTCCTGCTTCTTCCGAGCCGTCTCGGAGCAGGTACGCGGTGGGACGGCTCCGGTAACGGTCCCGGCGCCTCAGCTCCTCGCCGGGCCGTGTCTGCTGCCTGCCCGCGGGTGGTGGGTGATGCCGGAGACCCCTCCGGGGTGCCCCGTGGGTGGGATGTGCGAGGGGATGTGCGGTCACCCTGGGGCTCCCAGTGAGCTGCTTCCCACAGCTGTCTGTGGCACCCTGCTCTGTGCAGTGTGTTGTGGTGGGGTTACCCATAAACTACGAGTAAAACAAGCCTAACGGAAAGCTAAACTTTAATATTTTCTTTCATTCTGCTACAACCTTTTATGGGATTTTTTTTTTTTCCAGCTGTTTTTAACTCAAATTCACCACCTAGAAGTTAGGAAAGCTTGTGTTTCGTTTATGAGGCAGCATCAGCTTCAGTTTGAATCTGTAAGTAATGTCCGTGTTCAGCAGCTTTTTGCACGTGTAGTCGGGGGGCGATGTGGGAGGGGGCGAGCGGTTTAAGGTGCACTGAAAACATGTCATGCTTTGCCAGGCTTCGTGCACGTAATAGAGCAGGAGCAGCAGGGTGCTTGCTTGCTTACCTTGAGTTTCTATCGCACAAGTTTTACTTGGGTTTATATTCTGAAGCTCCTGAGATCAAGTTGCTAATACCTAACTAACCTGTAAGGTGGTAGTTATTGGTGTAGTATATTCTCTGTAGAGCAGAATTCAGTAGGCAGGAAATTCATAGGATTTTGGAGTAAAGAAACAAACATCAAAAGATGGCGGAAAACCCCAGAATGTGTTTAATTGTTGCATAAAGTAATGAGATAGTTAGGTGTATTTATTTTGGTGGGGTTTGTGTGTGTTTGTTTGCTTGGTTTTGGTGTGTGTTTTGCCCCCCCCAGTCGCCTTGTGATCACAGTTAAGTGCTCAGTCTGATTTAGGAGGCAGATGAGTCCCTGTTTACAGGATTATGCTCTTAATTTCTGTAGACTCTCTTGGTATTCCCATGTTGGTACCCCATGCAGGGAGCAGTGAAGTCATACCCCCAGTCAGACCACAGCCCTTCAGAAACCAAAGACGATAGGAAGTGGCAAACTAATCCCCAGTTTGGTGTCTGTGCTCCCAACCCCTGTTCTGCCCCCTTCCATTCACTAGCCAGTAATGGGCAGCTTCTGTTTAACTTTGCTTTGCAACTAGCTAAGTTTTTACATTTGTTTTATTCTTTGCTAAAAGTATGTGGAAGGATCATTTGAGAAATACCTTGAACGACTGGGAGATCCAAAGGTAAGACTGATCTAATACTTGGTAAGAGATTAAAATTTTAGGGGCCAAAACCAGGAAAATAATCAGGTGGTTGCTTAAAATTTGGTGATCTGGGGTTTTGCGTTTAGATAGACCCCAATCCTGGGGTTCTATTTTCATAGGTAATACAATGAGTTTGTGCTGAATATTCACATGTATAAACCATATCAATCAGTATCAATATTTTACTGGTGCATTTGTGTTAGTGCAAAGGAGCAATGTGTGCAGACTGGACAGTAAAGGTGAAGCCTCTCATGGGCCTTATTCATAATTGCAGTTCTTCTCTCAGAAGGAAAAGGCAAAATATGTGTGGTGTACATCACATCAAGTGATGATCAGGCTTTGCAATCTGCTGGTTCTTCCTCTGTCCCCAGGTTCAAATACTAGAGATCAGACTTTTTATGAAGACTTTAGCCAGTAAGTGTGGTGGATGCAGCAATCCCTGAAACAAATGTAGTGGCTTTAAATTAAAACAAAAATACATCTTGAGTGATGTGATTAAGAGTTGCTGCCAGAACTAGCTCCATTTTATTCAGCTCATGCCCATCCCATGTTGCAGGCTTTTGTATGCCATAGAAGTGGAAATACTAATATCTCAATTCTCAATGCATTGGTTGTTTTAAGCAATGGATGAATTTGGTTACATATCTTCATATAAGAGAGAACTTAGGTTCTCAGTGTTGAAGACTGTTCCACTAGCTCACATAGTCTCATAATCTTGCATAGGAAAGTGCTGGCCAGCTGGAAATGAGTGCCTTATCAGTGGTGTACAAGTAAGTGTCTCTTCCTTAAGTTTCATTTTGCTTTTACCTTAATGGCATTTGGATTGTGGCCCCAGGACCTTTTATTTGTTTGTTTCTGAGATAGTAATGTGTGAAACATGCTGAGAAATGCTGTCCAAACAAAGCTAAACTACTGTGTAAACAGGTGCCACCACAGCCCCTGTTCTCATAGCCTGCATTTAAGGGGAGGGTCAGTTTCCAGCTATGTTTATTATCTTTGTGCTAATGTTCAAAGAACATTTCCTTCTAGTGGCTGAAGGATAGAAAATGGGAACAAACAAGTAGCTATGTGTAGTGGAAGTGCTGTGTGGTAATTATAAGCATAACTAAAACTCATGTAGGTGTTCTTGAAAGTTCCAGTAGTGAGGAGTAATGGGCCTACTTGGTGTGTAAGCTCTCATGCTTATGTGAAAGGTAACATAAGCCTGTGCAGGTGCTGCTGTCTTGTAACAAGCTGTCTGGCTCTCCAGTGGTAGAAGGAAGAGCTCTCCCTTTGCAGGCTCATTCTGTTCTTGTACTGAAGGAACAAACAAGCTTTGCAAGAGTTCCTGGTTCCCTGTACTGCAGCGCTAATCGTTTGCAGGGTGACACTTAAATTGCCTTGGTGTCTGAGCACCCTGCTGTAAGCACAGATACCTGACCTAGTCTGTGACTAAGTGTAATATAATCTTTCCCACATAACTGTTTTCCCCTAAGATGAGTGTTTGCTCATTTAGCTCTTGCTGTATGGTAGCATTCATTTATCAGGAAAAGTATTCTCCTTGTTTTTCCTATAAACAGCTTCCTGCAAACTTCTCCGTAATATGGTTCTACTAAAAGTGTGTTCTTTCGAGTATTGTTTTTCCTCTGCTTACCTAGGCGAGACTTTATTCTCTACCGCTACCCTGGAAAGCCACCCATTTATGCTACGAACAATGGCTTTGATGACAAGGTGAGCAGAAGTGAGGCAATTTCCTACCCCTAAATCCTAGTGACCTCCAGTCCTGCTTAGCTGTTAAAACTTGCCACTGGAATTGGGCTCTTGTAAGTCCAGTGCTCTTTTGTACCTGAACAAAACCCCAAACTGACTTCAGCTTGTGGGAAAAGCACAGTATTTGCACCGCAGTGAATTATAGTAACTTTGCTTCCCATTTGAGAGGTGGATCGTGTGTTGTTCTCCTGCCAGTCATTTGTTACGCTAGCACATTATCGCAGAGAAGTCCAGTTTTGGCAGGAAGAGATAACATTGCAATTCCAGAATGTTCTTCCATGTCTCTGAAATCTCTTTGGGTAAAAACCCTTCTCAGTGGGAATTTGACTGATCCAACAAGGTAAAATGAAATACCTGGGTTGAGCTGAAGAGCAGAACAAGATCTATTTATTGTATTGTTGAAGAGAGGGTGTTCTCCCCCACCTCCAGTACCTCTGTTCTTGACATTGGATGAGGTGTGCAGCTTTTCTTCTGAAAACAGGAAGTTAATGGGAATTGATTAACAAACTGGTTCATTTCTATGACATACAAATTGAGCACAGTTAAGAACAGGAGCTACTGGAAGAGCTTATATAGACAAGAATTACTGCTGGTGGTCAAGAGAAGGCACATAAAGGAGAAATATTCTGTATTACATCCTATCTGCCCCTTCTTGTGTTTTCTGCAGTCATGTAGATGTGTCCACACAATTCCACGACTAGCTTGGGCACAAAGCCAGAAAAGTTGCTGCAGTATGGAATTCAGTATAGGCTACTCTATTTGCCAAGGTCTGTTCTGAAACCTGTGCTGCTGCAGCTGTTCTCTGTTGGTTAGAGAATAACTGCCATTGTTTACATGTGCTTCTTTCTTTTTCTGCATAGCTTAATCTAACTCAGAATGAGCCAGCTTTAAAAATCAAGCAGGATGGTCTAACTGTGTGTTTGTCCTCAAAGGCTTCATCACCAGAGCTCTCATTAAGTGTTGGCAGCTGTCTGTCATTACCCTGCATCTACAGCCAGTAGCTCTGTCTGCTGTTGCTCATTCTTACCATGAGATGAGAGCTTGAGTTGGCAGAAGGCATAGTGCACACTGAAATAAGAGCCCTGGCATCCCAGCTTTTGCTGGTTAATTGGGAAGCTTTCTTGCTGGGAGTGTGCTGACAGCCTGGGCTTTTGCTCGTTGTGATCATATGGCAAGATGAGGTTTGATGGTGTATGTTTACGTGGGATGTCAGTGCATATGTTGCAGAAAGCAAAAGGACAACGTAATATCTCTAAAAGCAGGGATTTGCTGAGGGCTGGAGAAGTAGATGCTTTTCTAGTCCCTCAGGCAGGGAACAGCGAAATGTGCCTTTGTTACTTGGGCAGTGTGTATTGGGGTACTGAATTTAATAGCTTGTATTTATTTTACCTCTTGAGCACTTGGTGGTTTCAGAGGTAGGTTGGAAACCAATTATTTCATGTTTAATGCAGCATGATGTACAAATTGATAGTTTTCCTTGGTATAATAGACAAATTTATTTAGATAGTTTAGTAGGATTCAGTTTTTAAGCTGATTCTATACCTTTTTCATATTTAGAGTATTTATTGGGTTTAGATGAGCTGGTATTGACTGTAGAATGAAAAAGAATTATGTGGTCTTGAGCTAGGATTTCGAACACAGTTAAGTTTTACATCATTCCGCACTTAAACTGTGTTTTCTTTTCCCAGGTTTTGCTCTGTTGTTCAGGCAATGGCCATTATGACTCTGTGTATACAAAACAGTTCCAGGAAACTGCTGCTATTTGCCAGGGTAATCTTGAAATCCTTTTCCTATGGAAGAAAATTAGGTGTTTTCATATGTTTATAGGCAGTGTTTGCTTTGGTTTTCAGAGGTGCAGTGGAGAAGGATGGAAGCTCATTTATTGTATATTAATGTACACTTGTTATTCTAGCTGTTAAGTGGGGTATTGGACCAAATGACTTCCAGAGGTCCCTTCTTCCCACCTGAATTATTTTATGGTTCTCTCATTAACTGAATGTAATATAACAAGTGCTTTGTAACAATAGATAATATATGAAGATACGCTTACCTTGAAACTTGCAGCAGTTCTTACTGTTCTGGTGTTACCTTAATTTGGTTTGAGCTTTATGTTGATTTGTTCAGCTGTATTATATGAGATCCTGTACAAGGATGTGTTTGGCATGGATGAGGAAGAATTAAAGTCTGCAGTGGAGATGTTTCGAAGTGGATCCAAGAAGAACAGAAACAATGTCTCTGTGGCAAGTGAGGATGCAAACTTTGATTGTCTTCATGAAAAAGTATCCAGAAATCCATCAGAAAAGAGGTAGTGTTTTGGGAGGGGAATATGGTGAAAGGGAAGGAAAAAAACCTTTAAAAATCTTGCAAAGAGCAACTTTTTCAAGTTTTTTTTCCAGTGTTTATGGGTTATTAACTCTTTTACCTATCCTGTGGCGCAAGCACAAAGCTGAAATATATTGTGGAAGAGAATGTGCTTTCCTTGGGGCTGGGAAGTAGCATGTAATTGAAAAGCCTATGCTGCTGGCTATGTTATAGTTGTGTGTTACTCTGTAAAATGACAGCTTATTTGTAAATAAAATTGATCTTTGTGATCATAATTTTAGTGAAAACCTGTTATTATCCTTCTAAGCCTCTGTCATTCTGCAGAAGAATTAATGTATTGAGAAAATCAGCTCTGCTTGACTTTGTCCTCTTTTGGATGGAATCGTACCTCAAGTAATAAAGTGGACTCATTCAAGTCTGTTGGATCACTGTGGACAAGAGGAACATGCAGGATGTCACTATAGAAACCCTCATATCCTGTGTTGCTCAAGTCATTAGAAAGGCTTGCAGGGTTGCAAGGGTTGCATCTGAATGCTTGCAGATGACATTGGTTTGATAGGATTTAGGGTGACTTCTTAAACTTGGCAGTGCAAGAGTTTAATCAGTCAGTGGAATCATCTTCATCGTTTCTTAATGCAAGCAGTAGCCCCCATTAGGGATGGGTGTTGGAACAAGTAAAGATGAAATCAGGGAAAGGGTTGTCCTGTACCCTATCGTAGCCATGGCTTGTGTTTAAGGCAAAAATCTACCACTTGATGGCACCATAGTGCTTTTTCAGGTTGTGTGTACAGTTGATTGATTTTAATCCTGGTTAGAAATTGTGCATTGTATCTTTTGTAATCTTATTTTCAATTGCTTAGACTGAACGACTGGGAAGGCAATGAGACTGACAATCCACAGGAAGATAAGTTCAAACAAGGCATTGAAGAAGAAAAGGTTTGTCAGTTAGGAAAGAGTTCCTTATGGTGTGTTCTTTTTGTTGCTGTTGTTGTATGACATTACCCTTGTTAGGGCTATACCTTCTTTTCCACGTTGTAAAATGACATTGTGGAAAGTGGGTGGCTTATTTTTAACATCTGCTTGTCACTTGGTTTTGCCCCTGAGTTTCTATTAAATTGGATAAGCCTTTTTCCTTTCTGATGTTCTCTTGTTCTTTAGCTAATATCCCTTCAAAGATGGAGCTTATAGATGTTTTCTGGTCTGCTGTTTGCTTTTCCTAGAAGTGGTTTAAATTGGCTCACTTTTGTTTGAACACAGTATAAATCACTCTAGAACAGTTTGAGAAACTCTATAGAAACATGTTTTCAGATATAATAACTGAAACTCCCACCAACATCTGAAACTATGATTTCATTGGTCTAGTTGGTTTCCTTTGATTCTTTCCGAGTAAAGAACGTGTTAAATGTTAGTTTTGAGCTTGTTTCTAACCTTCCCAAGTCTTTTTGCTCAGCTTCTGAATGGTTAAATGTGTTTTCATATTCTTAAGGTTTAGTTTTTAGGAAAATACAGCAGAAGTGAAAGTCTTGGAAAATGGCATTTGTACATTTTAAAGTGTTCCATAGATGCTAGCAGGGTGGAGACCATGCTGAGCACACTAAATGCACTTGTTTCAACTCTCTTTTTAGCATCTGGAAAATCCATCAAAGATGCCTGTTCCTTATAAAGTACTAAAGGCTCTGGACCCTGGGATCTATCGAAATGTGGAGTTTGATGTTTGGCTGGACAGCAGAAAAGGTATCTTTAAAAAAGAAAAACTAGAAGGCTCTCTGTACTAGGTTCAGTGTTAAATTTGTCAGAGAAGCTGATTCTTCACAACTGAAATGTGAGGGATCCTGGTTAACCCAGCAAATACTTGTAGATAGTATATCTTGCTAGTAGCTGATTTCTTGGCTTCCTTTCAAAATATGAAACACACTGGTGCTGACACTGTACAGTGGTTACAAGGTTGCCAAAAATCTGGCCTTTGATACTTACTGACTACAGTATGGGAAATACGAGGACTCAAAGCAGAATGCAAAACTGTGTTACCATGTTGTATTGGACATCATTCAAATTTGGGAGGTTTTTGTTGCAGCATGTGTGCAAGGACTTCTGCTTTTTTAAGCATGATTTTGGCTTCAGAGATGTACAATAATGATCTCAAATTTAGCATTGAGATCTGTCAAATGAGATGAGTTTTGTCTTGCTTCCCAGCTCTCCTGGGCTTGAACTTTCTGGAAAGATTTCATGGTCTTTGTGGATTGAGATAGGTTGCTGCTCTTTGGGATACACTGTGGCTGATCCATAAAGCAAGAAGTTACTGAGAGAGACAAGTTTTGAAATGGCATTTAATGTCTGACCCAAAGTGCTTTGCATACTGAAGGGCTTCAGCATTTTACAGCTGCATAAGCAGTAGAGGGTCATTAAAATTCTTGGAACAGGGTATAGTAACTAATTATCTATGTAGTGTACTGGTGTGCGGAGAATCCAGGCAAGGAATATTGAAAAACTATTGACATCCAGCAGCAATGAGACTTTAGGCAACGTTAGCTTTTACTGGATAACATCTCAGTTTTGCCAAGTGCCACCAGTACTGTGGCAAGACAAGACATGTTCAACATTCTTAATGCCAGGATTTTTATTAAATGCAGGATTAACTTGCAAAAGGCACTGTAGTATTGAAGTAGCAGTGCTACTTACTGCATTATCTGGATATTAGTGATGTCCTGTGATTTAACTTGGTTAGGGTCTGTTCTAAGAACATCTATAGTTATTTCACCATTACTATGGGGAATGTTCAGGTATGCATAGGAAGTACTTAATTGGCCTGTAACTTGTAGTTGGATGCTGTCGTGAAGTACTTGTAGGATACATGAAGAAAGAACAGTAGTTTAAAGGCTTTTTCCTTTTTTTTATTATCCATTTATTTTTAGAGCTTCAAAAAACTGACTACATGGTGTTTGCTGGGAGACAGTACTATTTAGGAGACAAGTGTCAGGTTAGTACACAAAAGAGACTCAGTTACGATGAACTATTAAAACTTCTTTAAATGGAGTATGGTAAGCCTTAAAATAATTTGGCTTCATAGAATTTTCCAAGGCTTTTCTCATTCTCTTCCTTGTAGCTATTAATCTGACTTCCTTTTTGATTTAATCTCTTTCTAAAATGTCCTTTAAACATTGGGTAGCATGAAGGAAAAGCTCCTTGGAAATTCCTTGCAAACGGGAATTTGGTGCACATTCTGTGAGTGTGGAGATTCCAGGCCAAGAGCTCAAAATGCCCTGAGTGTGCCTTGGAGCTAGTTGTCTGTTAGATTTTCGCTGGGGGTTAACAGCAGGCCTGGACAGTCAGAGTAGCATGATTTGGTCTGGAAATGCTGAAAGGAAGGTCAGCTTTCTTTGTATTCTAATGTATGTAGTGAGGGCTTATTTTTTTATCACTGTTTGAGGTAGTCCTGATGATTCACTCAATGACTTGCTTCTAGCTGAGCAGAGCTTTCCTTTCCAGTTTCCTGTTTTATCTTCTGTTCTCCTTGAGTTCTTAAATAACAGTCTTCCTTGATGCTTATCTGCTTGGCACAGTGTATAAAAATAAATAAAAAAAGCAGGTATTTTACCTCTCAGTTACTTATAAGAAGATTGGTTTTCTCTCCCTGAAGTTAGTATAGTGCTCTTTATTTTGCCTGCTATTTTGGAGAAGTATTTGAGACTCCTGAGCCAACATAGGATCATTTAGGAGCAGGCTTTGCTATCAGCTGTTTGCAGATAGTATTCTAAATCCCCTGGTAGAGTTTAGCTATTTTAGAGCTTCCCTTTTCTCTCTTCAGGTACGTCTGGAGCCTGGAGGTAAGTATTACAATGCTCATATCCAGGAAGTCGGACAAGATGGTGACACCTTGACTGTATTCGTTGAGGAGTTGGCAGAAAAGTAAGCAGCCTGGTGACACTTTGTGTTTAAGCTCTTTCTGGTTGAGTTTATGTATTCACAGAAGCTTTAAACAGGGTTGTTAAGATAGTTTGAAAAGAGAACCTAGGCTTTCAAATACAAAGTGAAGCTTTGCTTCCTTGTTGGCTATCACCCCTCAAAGGCAGTGTTTCAGGAGTGCCATTTCTAATGACCAAAATCGTTATTGTAATGCATTCTGTGAAATCTTGCTGCTTGCTCTTCTCTGGAAGATGGAAATGATTTTTGCACTTTGGGTTTAATTCATGAATAGCAAGCAGATTGCCCTCTGGTGTTGGTTTCTCTGGAGTTCTTACGTTGTACTGAAACAACTGAATAATTGGCACTTCTGGTGGGTCTGATCACTTCCTCTACCTTGCTGTTCAAAGCATTCACCTTCCTCCAAGAATTCTGGTCAAACTTAGAATTCAGCTTGATGACATACTGCAGAAATCCTGTGTTGTCACATGCTTTCAGGTGTAGCTCTATAGGCATACGTGTGCAGGGAACAAAGTCTTGACCGGGAAATCAGTGTGTTGAGCGTAAATCCTAGCTTGCCTTGTTTAATAAACAAGTAACAATTGTGTGCTTGTTGTCAGGGAAAGAGATGATTTATTTTTTCTTTATTTCCCCAAGCTCCCTACACTCCTGTTTGTGGGTTTTTCTGTTCTCTTCTGTCTTACGTTGTTGTGCAGTTATACGTATTATATCCTTGTGGCACCAACATCAGTATTCTTCCTGCAGGCATGCAGTTCCTTTGACAAACTTGAAACCAGTGACACAAGTAGCACCTGTCCTTGCTTGGAATATGGTTTCCACCAGAAAAGGAGGAACATATCAGAAAATATCAGGTGGATGCTTCTCAGGAATAGGTTTGTACAAGGTTTCTACAACATTCCTTTCCTTGTAGCCGGGGGAAGTGGGGAAGAAGCTCATGGCAGTTTTAACAGTAGCAGTCTTTGGACACTGGAAGTGACTTAAGGCTGTGATATAAAACTTGGTCACTACAGGGGTTTGATGTAAAGTGACCCTTTAAACAGAGGGATGAATTTGTCTTTGCAAAGGAAGAAATGCATTGAAAATACACAGCAAAGTGTGTTGCTCGAAATTACCAAGGAGAAATTTCACACTTAAAAAAAAGATACAAAGATTGGGTCTGTGAATCCAGCAGCTTGTTTGGTTTGATCATAGCAGAGGAGAATGGGTAGATGAGAGCTTCCCCAGCTAATAAATATGGACTATATTTGTTTGATTTCATAAAGGGATTTTAACACTGGTGAACATTGGTTTGATCAGCTGAATTTGGAAGGCATTCACATATGAGATGTTAGCATTCTGCTCAGAACTTAGAATACCCCCTAGAGCCTTCAAAATAAGGGTATACTTAAAATGCATTCTTCTGCGATAGGCTGTTGACTCTTTTCTGAGTGTCCAAATATTGACACTTCTCAACTGATAAAGAGAACGAAGCTCTGGAGTCAGGTGTTTAAGGTGTAAATATCTTTTTTTTTTTTTTTTTTTTTTTTTCTGTCCTCAACTGAAACTGCAGAAATGGATGCAAAGACACGGAAGAAACTGCCTAAGAAAATCCGTGGAAAGGAAGTTTTTATGACCGTTTCTTACAGCAGGGGTCAGGCAGGTCTTCCACCCCGGCTACAGCATGGCATTTCTTCGGGGCACTCCACTCCACTTCGTAGCTCGCAGGGTGGTGGGAACATGCCACCTTATGAACCCTATCATCCTCAGAACACTCCTCAGAGACATAACCGTGGATTTGGGATGTCAAGGTATGCAGCCTTGAAAACCTGTCTGAGATCATCACTCATTTTCTATCCATTCTTGCTGCAGACTAGTTAGGAGAGAGTTTGTGCTATTTAGTAGGTAAATCTGCAAATGAGTTCCATCTGAAGAAGCACTTCCTGGTAATTGCATCTTTTACCCTTTAAACTTAGGGGATCTGCCCGATTTATAAACAGGCACAACATGGTTGGCCCTCAAATAGCATTCTGCCCCAGTCCAGGAAAGAGGTGCTATCAGAGCTATGGCAATTTCTCCTGCAGGTCCTGGTAAGTGAATATAAACATCTTCACAAAATCTTGCTCTAAAAGAGCTGGGGAGGATGGTGGCACATGGAGAGCTGTGTTGGCTGTTAGTGGTGCAGTACAAAACAGTGGGTTTATTGTGCCTCTCCAAAAAGCACTGAGTAAAATTGAGCAATGAAACGAAGGTGAAACTCCAGATGGTGGCAGTTCTTAATCTCCTTCATTGTTTTTAAAGTTCATACAGCCGTAGCTGCCGTCGAATGCAGTGTGTGAATAAGGAGTGTCAGTATGGGTTTGTGCCAGGGAATGGAGAGCAGCCTCGAGGACCAGAAGAAACTATAACTTTCTATGAAATAGAAGGAGAGGATAACACTGCTTTTCCTGCTTTGCCAGTAAGTTACTAACAAAGGATATGTTAATATCTCTCAAAGAGTTGGGAGCTGTACCAGCACTTGTTTACCTAAGTACACAGCAGGTTTGTTTTGTTGTTTTTTCTTTTGCGTTGGAATAAGCTGTAGCAGTGAATGTGTTCAAGAAGGAATAGCTGAAATGAGTCTAGATCTGTAAAAAAAAAGCCCTGCTTGAAACTTTTTTTTTTCTGAATGTTCCACTTCTTTCTCCCTCCCCTCACCAGCAGCATTTTTCTCTTTAGTGTATTTTCATAGAAGTAGGGTAATATTTCTCCTTTCCATTGCAGTTTGAAAACTAAACAAAGAAAATCCCTTCTTCCTGTGGATGTCTGTCTCTAAATAGTGTGGGAGAAAGCTTTTCATTTGTTTGCCACATTAATTTATCATTTGTCTAACTAGATTCAGAAAGCATATAGTGATAGCCTGGATTGTGCCTGTAAATTTGTATTTGTGATGTTTTGGGGCTAACATGTTGTTCCTGAAACCATTTCTTCTGCTACAGAAATAGGAGAAAATTCCAGATACAGACTTCTTCTAAAGCACTCTTTCTGTGAGATAGTAAAGTGGCTCAGTGTAGTCTTAAACTTTAAAGTAAGTCTTTTATTTGTAGTCTAACCCTAGTACAAAGTTGGATATGCTACAAAGAATCAATTGATATTTAGGTAGCTGATGAGGAAAGCAGAAATTTTCTTTTTTTTTCTTTTTTTTTTTTAAGAAAAACTCTAGTAGGTTTGAATTTTTACTGTGTTGAAGCAGTGACCTTAGTGAATGTTAGACCTGCATTTGAATGAGAGAGAGGGAGTCTGCCCACGGCTGTTCCAGCAGCAGCCATTGTTTAGTTTTTCCTCATGTGCTAGATCTGTAATCTTTGCTCTGATTTTTCTTCCAAGAGTGTTGAGCAATAAGGACAGATTATCCTGCAGTGGTGGGGTATTTTTTTTTCCCCCACCACAAAATCAGTACAGCTCACTAGCTTTTCATCCCCTTGATAGACTATATACCTGCAGCTCCTAATGAATAGATTTTCATGTTCATTCAGTGACTTTGTACTGTCAATGCCAAAGCCTTTTCTCTGTCTCTCCCTTGTCTTGTTTAGTCAAGGAATAAAACATTTCCTGGGGAAAGATGCACCTCACAGAAAACTCTGCCATCCTACTAGAGGCCTGGTGGGAGAATCTTCTGACTTAACCACCTCTGCTTCAACCTTGGAAATCTTACAAGCCTCTCTGAGCACTTTTATCGATCTCATAGTCACCATGTCTTCTGAGGAGAATGTTGGGTGTCACCTTAGCCATCACAAAAGAGTGAATCAACTTCTTGAACATCTAGATTCCTGCTTCAGAGAACTCTATCTTTTAAATTTTGATGCAGCTTAAGGACTGACTTCAGCACAATGTTGTGTGAAGTGTTAAGGAGTCCTGTGGGAAACCTGAATGGGTGCTGCTTTTTGAAAGAGTCAGACTTGCATTTGCCAACTGTGACTAAAGAAAACCTTTTCCCATGCAATTAGTGTAGTGGATGCACTGATGTGGTGGTGGTGTGGTGGGAATGCTCCAGCATGAGGAAAACGGGAGTCTTTGTTGGCTGTTGTCTGGGGACTGCTCATTCCTTTTGAGCTTTGAGCTTGAGATAAAGCTGGCTATGTTCTGGGAGGGAGCAACTTGACTGTACGGCATAGGGCAGTGGTAGGTCTTCAAAGTGAATTACCTGAAGTATACTAGGCAAAACCAAAGGTAAAGGCAAGGAATGTGTCAGTAACCATTTTGCTGCAATCAAAGTGCATAGGAATGGGCACACATATGGTAATTCTAGTAAGATTTGGTTGCAGCAGTCTCAGCCTGCTAGCCTGTTTCTATTGTGTGTGTGTGTGTAGAGCATGGAAAGGGTTTAAACTATTTCTAAATGCATGCTTTTGATTTTTGCTCTTTAGAGCCAGGGTAGCCCTGGTCCCATTATCCATGGTACAGCAGGATTCTGGGTAGCAAGGCGAGGCCCAAACTCAGATGTGCCTAACAAGCAGATCCTGAATTCCTGTGAGGAGGAAGAAGCAAGTGAAAGTGGTGAGTCCTTAAAGGGTTAGTTGGGTAAACAGAAAAGACAATGTTTAGAAGATCTTCAAATTGTCGAAGTAGGTACCTTGCATCTCCTAAAGATCTGTTTTTTAGGAGCTTTAAACGTGTGTGAGCACAGTATTTTTCTTTGTCTGCTAGAACTGTTACTTCTGTTTGAGCTTGCTATGCTATCACCTTTGTGATTAGGTAGGTCTGCAGCAGGCCATGTTGCTGCCAAAAAATGCATGAGTGCATGGTATAAACTTGGTAATGGCAACCTTAATACTTGGTCGAATAACAAAATGAGCATATCTTGAGAGTTTTTATATCTTTCCTGCACAAAAGATGATGATCCTGAAAGCAGCTCATTAATGGGTACACTGAAATGTAATTCTGGTAACTTCAGCTTTAAGCTTTTTTTCTTTTCTGTTTTCTTTTTCCCTTTGAATCAAAGCATCTTGTTCTTTCCCTTGTAGGGAAATTCCATGATGAATATATGTATGCATCTCCAGGTTAGTAAAACTTGAGTGTTTACTGCTAGGATGCTTGCTGACTGTAATGCACTCATTATGATCTTTTTCTGAAGCATTAGATTTAATGCTGCTTTTTTTTCAATTAATTTTGCCAATGCCCTCCAGATCCTGACTGTGACACTGCAACAGTATTTAGTTCAGCAGAGCCTACGGAAAACTTGGTAAGCTTTAGTCACTGGCTGTTCAGATTACAAATCCCTGAAGTGTGTGGCATTCTTCATAGAAACTGTCCTTGGATCCAGGCATAACATAGTAGGTCAGAGACCTCTTTTGAAAGAAGGGAATGGTGGTTTTATTTATGTATTCACACAAACACACACCTCTTTCCTCCCTAAATATTGAGGGTTTTATCTGAGTCTGCAAATACAGTCTGCATTGCACAGGATAATTAATGATTTTCCACTTTCCCCTTTGCAGAGAGAAAGTGTGTAGTTGAGTGCTGTTTACTTTTTCTGCTCCTGACAGCACTTGCTTTTATCATGCTACCCTTCAAGTCCTATTGCAGTCAGTCTTACTCCTCCACTGTGGGACTGGAGAGATGTCACCTCTGATAGACCTGATTGTGGAATTCTTATTTTTTGTAGTCTGAAACTAACTCTTTAGTCACCTGCTGGTCTGCAGTGGTGTGAAAGCCAGTCCTGTGCTTGTCAGAATAAAACTGCTTTTGCCCAAGTTACCAAAGATGCCCTGTGTGTGTATATAGTCCATAAATAAATCTTTAAAAATAGAGGTATAGTGTGTGTGCCTTGGGACTTCTTTTGCCTCTTAAATGGACCATGCTTTGCTTTGGAATCCCTTCAGGAAGAAGGGGCAGTCTCTGTGTCACCTCAAGATGGAGTGGCTTCCCACAGCTGTCCCCAGAAGGTAGTATCTAGTACTTTTATGTGGTAGCCCTGTGAAGAGGCAACCACTCTGCTCAGTTAGTGCCAGTAGATGGGTTCCCTTTACCTGCCCCTTCATAGCATCTTGTAGAAGGGTGAGAAGATGCTTTGCAGCTGGTATTTTCAAGCCAATTTTTAGAGAACTTGGATAGCTAGCTGCCTTACAGCTAGGACTTCCAAGATGCATTTATGTGAAGTGAGTATTTTCCAAGTATGTGACGTTTCTATAATCTTTGTCAAAGCAAGTTGCCTGTGAGTACTCTGACTCTTTTCCAGGTGATGGTGAATTCTGCAGCTATCTCAACCTCTACAGCTGTTTATGCTGCTCCAGCTACAGGTTTCTCCTCAAATTCTGTTGCCTCCAGTCCAGCAAGTGCCACAACAGCAGTTCCCCCACAAACAGCAGGCCAGCCGGTTGTGGTATCTCCCCCTTCTATAGGGAGGCCAGGTAGAGTGTGCATGCTACATCTGTGGACTTGGATGTCTGAGGTTTATGGATCACTTGCTTTGGCTTAAAATGACTTAGTATTAGTTTTAACTTCACTGCTCACTTCTTGCTTTTGTGTTTTGAAGGAGACAGTTGCCTCTGAATTTGCATGGGAACTGGAGGTATCTGATTTGGGTTCCCCCTTCACCACCTTTAGCCACCAATGCCAAGGGTTGTGCTAGACAGCTCTTTTCAGGAGGCAGAAGTTCCTGGCAGCTCCCTTCTCCCCAGTTTCCTACAGTTAATTATCATCTTGAGTTAAGATGCTGGTCCTGAGGCTTTACTGTCCCTTCCAAAAGAGTCTCTGGCTGTCATGGTTCAGGATCCGCACAAATGCCCAATATGCTTTTTGTGGCCCTTATTTTGCTCCTCTGCTTAGTTACATGAAGCTTGCAGACAGACATACAGTTCAGGCTTGTGAGACTGGAACCTTCCCGTCTGGTTTTAAAAGTTTTGGATTTCTTTTAAAGTGATTACTAAGGAGAACTTTGTTAAAGTTTGTACTGAGGGGCACTGAGATGAGGAAGAAGTGCGTGCTGAATCGTGTGACTTAGCATCTCGCTCATTTGACCTGCCATTGCAAAGCTGACTTTTGTTTCCTTCTAATTGTAGCAGTTTCTTTGGTGCCATTGCCAATTTATTCAGCCCCTCTTCCTCCAGTCAGTGAGGTGGGAGAAGCTGGTGCCGTTCTTCCACCTTACTCTTGTGATCCCAATGGCAGTGATCTGCCTCAAGGTAATGACAGTATTTTGTGCTTTTACTACTGCTGCTCTTCAGCATGCTTCTGACTCGTGTTCTCCATGGAAACTTCACAGAATACCTATAGTGAGAAGAAATGGCTCTTGGCAGTTTGCAGGGAGTGAGAAATAATGTTATGGATGCTTATGCTAAAACCAATTTCATTTCCAGTTCTGTATAGCAGGTTCATGTCTGACTCAAGTATGTGATTACCACAGCCTTAAACAGCATCTAAAGAAATGAATACCAAGGCAGGGGGTGCTTGGCCTGTATTGTGCTGGTTCTTGGTGGAGGAATCGTTTGGCTGATAGCTGATTTAAAAAAAAACCCAAACAGTTTCCTTATAGTCATACTGTTGCATAGTTGAGTGGCATATTGCGGTGTTCTCCTGTATAGGTCCAAGAAGTCATTCTGTGGTGGTATAAATGGGGGATAAAATGCAGGGTCATGTTGTTCCATGTGTGCATAGCCTTCTCATGTACTGTTACCAGTTAGGATTGTGTTGAAAGTGTATTTTGGCTGTTAAGCAGTGAGCATGCAAAAGCCAGCATAGCACCTACCGGCAGGGCAGCTCAGAAACAACTTTTGGCTTTATCAGCTGAAGATGGACTTCATTTTGAAAGTGGTAATCTTTAGTCAGTTTCCTCTTACAATATAAGAATATCCGCATACTGATTACATCAGACAGCTGAGCTTGCTAAGCTATGCAACGGCACTGTTACACTTGATGTTTTTGTTATTAATTTATCCCTTTATTCTCTCATTTTTATGGTTCACAAGTCCTAAATAGAGCCTGTAATTCACAGAGCTTTCTCTGATAACCCAGAGATCAAGCTAAGTGCCTCAGCTACAGGAAAAATGGTGCTGCTTGCTGTTAAGCTACATAACTTATTTTTCTCTAGGTGAGGAATGCTGTAAGGCCCAAGTGTGCCACTGTTGCATCATTGCACACATCTCAAGAGGCAGATAAGCTGTAGCCTACCCTTAAGAGCAGCAGTCCAAAACTGGCTGTTCATGATTTTGTTGATCAAGTAGTTGATGTATCTCTGCATGCTGGTTAAAGTACACGGGTTTTTTTAATGTCCTCTATACACTGAAAGTCTGCATCATAGCTGGCTTGTTCTAATAGCTGTAGATAGAGCAGATGACGGGATTTTATCAGACTTACCACCTTTAATTCAAGTTCCTGAACCTACCATGTTCTCTAGTGTAGAGAGTAGCTGCTCATTCGGGGGCAAGCAAGGGAAGGAACTGGCTGCATATCTGTAGTGATTGTGAAATCCAGGTGTTCCTTTTTTGAACTCTTTTGAAAAGTGTAATTTCACTATCACTGTCTGACTTGATTTCTTCCCCAGCTCCCTCCCCCAAAAAACTCATCCTTGTAACAGACTGAATTTTAGCTATCTGCCAGTTATAGCTTTCACTGCATCAGAATGATGCAATGAAAGCCTCTGGCTTTTATTCTGAAATCTATTACTTTAAGATAGACCATGAAATATTTCAGTAATGCAAATTGTTTTTATGTTAGATTCAATGTGTTGCCATCTAACTTGGCTCTATTGACCCTGTGTGGGGCTTTCTTCGATTTACTAATCCTAGAGGGCTAAATTCAGGTAAGATAAAGAGCTGCTCTTGATATCTGCAGTGCAGGTATCTACATCTGGTAGATTGCAGAATAACTGGGCTGAAAAACTATGGATTCTTCCAGTTGCATTTACCATGTGATGTGCTTGTCAGAAGTTGGCAGGTCCCAAAACACTGTGGTGAGGCTGCTCAAAGGCCTGCTGCTTTCACAGGTACCACTTGTGTGCTCTGCAGGAGCTCTGCTTTCTTGCCCCTGCTCTGAGTTCCTGCTGGTGTTAGTCTTGAATATTCAGTTTTCCAAGTCCCTGCTGCAGCAGTACTGCTCTAGATGATACCATGCACACATCAGGGTTAGTGTTTTTCAGCTTTAGTTGAATGCCCTTAACTGAGGCTTCTGGCACTTGGGAGAATTGGGTGTTAAGTGGGCTGACAAGAATCTGGAGTGGATGTGGATTAATAACCTCTTCAGACCCTGCCTGTGGCTCTTCAGTTGAGTCACTCCATTTGATACTGGCCATGTTCTTTTTGGCATAAACTCTGGAAGCCTTTTTTTTTCCAAAGGATTTTAAGGTTGGTAGTTAATAAGTCGTTGTATGTAGCAGTTACGTTGTCATACTGCTGCAGGATAATATGTATGGCTTTTTAAGTTCAGAAATCCAGAAGCTTTGGACTGTAGTACAGAGTATGTTGGTACACTTGACCTAGAGTTCTGTGCGCTTTGCTAAAGATACTTGCAGGCCTGGTATAGATGGGGAGTGTGACTTGTCAACAGAGTTAAATCCTGGACCTGGGAGGAAAACCTACTGTGTGCCTTAGTATTACTTGGTACATTTGCATTTGTTCCAGTCTTCATCTCTTGGATCTTCTTTTAGTGGTGCTTAGGGCTTTTGAAACATGTTTATTAATGTAGTGACCTTAGATGTCCACGCCTTATCTGCTCTCTTGTGTTTGTATTTGAAGGAGCTGTTGGTAAAAGACTGCTTGATATTACTGTGCTCCAGAGACTGCAGTAGTGTTCAGGACTGACCAAAGCTTCCCATCAGCACAGCAAAAATTCTGTCATGGTTTTTGTCCTGCTTGCATCTAAGATGAGGTTTTTCAGCCTTCAACATGGTCTTCATGTTTCCATCTCAGAGTGGGTAGTTATTGCTTCATAAGGTAGTCATGTTTTAGTGAAGATTGACTTGATTTCTAGACATCTGAAAGAGGAATATAAACAAAAACTGGTCTCCTGCTGTCCTGGCTTCTGTTCCAGCATTCCACAGACGTCAGTATTTCCAGTATCAGTTTGTCACTTCAGTCTCCCCGCTCTTCCTTTGTACTGTTATCGCTGCTATGAAGCAGCTGTTTCATTGCACTCTTAGGCTTCTTTTGCATAGATTTGCATAAACAATTGAAGAACAAAATCAGGTTAAAAAATCCACCAACAACTTGTTCCAAACGTAGATGCAGTTTTAGCTGGATACTAAAAAAAAAGGCATTTATGTGGGGCTTATTTATAATGTTTGCTGGCTGTGGTCAATGTCACAGCCAAATCACCAGCACTTTGGGGAGTTAAGCTTAATGCTGTTAGATGTAAGGAAGGACCTGTGCACACTTCCTAAAATAACTGCATGAATTGTTGCCCTGATCCAATGTGCTGAGCAGTGAAAAGAGTTGAGAATTGGCAACAGCAATGAAGCAACAAATCCTGTGTATTTCAAGGTTGGGGTTTGCATTTCTGATGCTGTGCTTGCCTGCAGCAAAATGCAACATGCAGGGTTGGTGTGTGTGTTGGATGGGTGGACAGCGCAGCAATGTGGAGCCAAGGCCCTGATCTAGGGGGAAGTAGGTAGGAAGTGACAAGATGGTGTATGTGGTAACTCTGGAGGTGTTGTCAAGTTGAAGTTCTTTGTGGCTTGCTCCTTTGGAGCTGTCTCCCTGCTTTCCCTTTCAGTGTCCAGTGGTACTAAAGCAAAGTCTGTGTGCATGCACTCACATGCAGACCTGCTGTCGAAGAGGTGACTTGCTTTTCCTGAGCCTTTAAAACAAATCTGTATCTGAATCTGAGAAATCAGCAGTTTTTCTGAGAACTGCACAGTTCCAGAACTGCATCACGGGATTAAAACGTACGTTTCTTCTTTTCTTTTCAGTGCTCAAGCTTTAAAGGTTTAAAACTGCTTCAGTTTTGGACAGTTGGAAGTGTGTTTCCAAGTTCAAACCCCTGCTGTTCTTGGAGTGTGGTTTCAAAGTTCCTTCACACATCTGTGATTCCTTCTCAGTATATTATGTATTTGCCTGGGGGCAAATTATTCAGTACATGGAAAACAAGTAAAAGACTACTTGCAAGAAAGCAGGGAATGGAGCACCCTTGTGAGGAAAGGGAAGGAATTAACATAATCCGTAACTCCCCCCCCCCCCAAATTTTCTGACTTGATACAGCAGTTTGGGAGGACCTTCAAAACTAGGTCAGAAGTTCTTAAGTAAGAGTAACTTAAAATAAAATGCTCTTAATGTGCATAAATTTCTTCTGCTTCTCAGTTTGTACTTTTCCGTTCTTTAATGTCACGTCCTTTAATTTCAGATGCAAAGGTCTTGCGGTATTATTTTAATCTGGGATTGCAAGTAAGTGCTTTTAAAATGTACAGTAAATTGCCTGTAAAACCTGCTGATTTTCTTGACAAATGCACTGATGTATTTGAGATTTCCAGGTGTGCTAAATGCATGCCCTGCACGCCTGACTTAAAACATACAGGCTTGTTTGGTGGAGATAAAAGTATAGCTCAGGACGTGAAGTTGTAACTCAAAATGTGAAGCACACTAGCATGCATGTTCAGTTGTTTTACCTTAGATTATGGTGGTGGTTTTCGTTTTCGCTTTTGTTTTTGCAGAGAATGGTGGATAAGTACTGTTCTTCCGTGAAGATGCAAGGGAAGGAACCTCAGGCATTCTTAAGAAAATGTGTACTTAGACAAGACATCAAAGGCCATGTAGAGATGCGTGTTTTGAGTCTTTTAGGACTTGTACAACTGTGTTCAGACTGGTTAGCACAACTTGCCTGTGTTCTGGGAGCTCTTGCTGTGCTGAAGAGTTGTCTTTGCACCAGCAGGCATATACTGTGTCAGTGCTGCTGCTCAGGAAAGTAGAGGAAGTCATGTCAGCTTCTGCAGCTGAAGAAATAGGAAAAAATCTGTTTGTGACAAAGTTGATAGGGGGGAATCTTGTTTCTCTGTAGAGCTTTCTGACACAACAGTGTGTGAGGTGGCTATTGCTGCAGGTATTGCAGTGTCTTTTCTGGTATGCTGTATTGAGGTGTTTGGCATGTGTAGTGACTTAAGGGTCTAGAAAGGAAGAAATGTACTTCTTTCTAACTTCAGATCTGAAGCTAGCAGTGATTTGGAAGAGCAATGGAGAGTTTGTGGTTGTATGAGTGACCTTGTATCATTTTTCCTTTTCTCAAAGTATTACCATCAGAGCTATTGGCCTCCCATGATGTATGTAGAGCCAGTGCTGCCCCCGTCACCCGTGGAAGTTTATCCATCATATACTGAGCCAGCTCCTGCCCTAGATCAGTCAGTACCTCAGCTCTACACTGATGCTGGGCGAACTGGAATCCACCAGGTTCCCTTGGAAGCACCTGCAAACGGTTAGTATTTGAATGTAAGACCACACAGACAACAAATGAGAATGAGAGAATAGATTTCTCAGAGCTGCTTGCCTGCAGCTTTACTCTCCTATGGGAAGAGCGAGGTTGGGAGGTCAGAGTAAACCTTGTAAGGGGTTATCACAAGTTCCTCTGCCGTCTGTGGTACTTTGAAGTGTGTCACAGTCACTGGTGTAGCCACCAGGGTGTCAAGGGCTTTCTAAAGCCATAAAATGGAAGAAGGAATCCTTTCTAGGCCTGTACCAGGTATGCTAACTTTAACTTGGCAGAACTCTTTCGAAACCTCTGAAGAGCATTTTTGCTTCCTGATGAGCAGGTATTCAGGGTATCAAACCAGAATGCCTGTATTTTTTAAGCTGAGTTTTGGCAAGCATTTCAGCTTAAGGCTTATAGATATGCTTGGCAGTAAATAAGGAGTATTGTAGTGAGTGAGGAAAAAGACTTAATTACTCTGATAATGCTGTTCGGTTTGAGTGGTTCTTTTGCATAAATTAATGCCATATGGTCAGAGATCAAATAGGGAAGAAGATACTGGCTCTCTACCAGAGCCCTTGAAAAAGCTGCCACTCCAAAGCAGAATGCTACTAAGCAACTCTTGAACAGAGTTTTGTGAGCAAGTTGTCCTCTAGTCTAACTTAGGACCCCAAATGATTTTGACCCCTCCATTAGGAAGGGCATCTATGGGCATAAAATTGTCATCCAAATGGATTTTCCCTTTGGGCCACCAGAGTAATGCTGTCTTCATAGTAATGAAAGTCTGCATAAACAGCCCACAGTTATAGTAAGAGTGTGTTATTTTGTTCTGTTTTTTAAGGTAACTTTCAAAATGGAGAGGCTCCAGCCCTGTCCTACGGGTCAGTGTATTACCCAGTCATGTCAGACCCCTTCAGCCAGCAGTCTCTTCCTGGGTTTGATTCTTTAGTACCTGCCTATCGCTATGTTAGTACCTGGCATCCAGCAAATCCACCCTATGGAAGTTCTCCACAGATTGCTAATGCTGTGAGTTCTGGACCAACGCAGCAAGTGAGCTATATTGCCTCACCTAACCCTGCACCTCATGATGTGCCTCAAGGAATGTAAACCAGAGAACCATAAACTCACTTCTTGCCTTTGGTTTATTTGTTTGTCAACTATGTTGATACTGTTTTGTAAATCTCACCTTGTCTTAGTGGGCTGGGTCAGTTGATTAAACTACACTCAAATTTCATGTCTCTCCTTAGGTTTATGCTAGTGATACATGACTTAATGTTTTAGTGGATTATTTAGGAAAGCATAGGAAAAGATTGTACAGAAACAATAGTGCAGGGAACACAAAGCTTGAGTTTGACTATATAAAGTATGTGTAATAACCTATGCTATCACTAAATGAATATTGTACTTCTGAGGGGTTGCACTGGAACATGTAGACACCTGGTTCTTGCTTAGTCACTGAAATAGGCTGCAGTTAACAAATGCAGGTAAAAATAGGGCACAGGGTCATTAGAGGATGTTTGAAAGAGGTTGGCTTTCTCAGATTCAGCAAATCAATGCTGCTTTGCCACTAGTGGTCACATATTGTGATAGCTGTATTTCTTCTGTCTAATTTTGTTCTGTATAGGTTTCATGAGTCTTGAAACGTCTAAGAATACTGTTTGAATATGTTGGATATTGCTCTGTGTTTGTAAGATTTGGTTTTTGGAAGCTGTTGCACAAATGATGGTAGTCTTGGTGTTTACTTTGCACTGAGAGCACAAAATGAAAGCATTGAACACATGAAAGTGAGTGGTCATTGGAGGATGTTTGAAAGAGATTGGCTTTCTCAGATTCAGCAAATCAATGCTGCTTTGCCACTAGTGGTCACATATTTGTAATAGCCATATTTCTTATGTCTGATTTTGTTCTGTACAGGTTTCATTACTTTTGAAAGAGTAAGAATACCGTTTGAATCTATTGGATATTGCTCTATGTTTGTAAGATTTGTTTTGTGGAAGCAGTTGCACAAATGGTGGTAGTCTTGGTGTGCATTTTGCACTGAGAGCACAAAATAAAAGCATTGAACGCATGAAAATGAGTGGTCATTTATCACTGGCAGGTTACATTTCTGACAACTAGGCATCCAACAGCCTGGACTGAAGAGATGTAGTTGTCTTGTGTGGGGTGAAGCTGCTCCAGCCTTCTGTGAGAAAGTAGCAAAAGATTTCAGCATGAGAATGGGGTGTGGAAGGCAGTAGCTCTGGTTTTGCTGGTAAGTTTAAGAAGAAAACTTAAGAGTATCTGTGCATGTGAGCTGTAATTCTTTCAAAGGACTGTCTGCACAGGCTCTGTCCTTGGTACAAACTTGCACCATACATGCAAAACCAACAAGAAATGTGTGTGAGCTGAGCCCTGCTTGCAGCCCAGGTGCATCATGTTGGAAAGTCCTCTCATGGAGTAATGAACAAGAGCACAAGCGCAGGTAACTCTGCTCAGTGCCAGAGGCCCTGAAATATGCTTATTTAGCAAATCTTTAATTCTGTGTAGAGGCAGTCTCCTGACTACTCTGACTCTTTCCCAGGTGATGGGTGAACGCTGCAGCAATCTCAGCCTCAGCAGGTATTTATGCTGCTCCACCTTCAGGCTTCTGCTCCACTCCAGCCAGTGCCACAACAGCAGTTGCTTCGCAGATAGCAGTCCAGCCAGTCATGGTATCTCCCCCTTCTATAGGGAGGCCAGGTAGAGTGTGCATGCTATGACTGTGGACTTGGATGACTAAGATTTCAGTTACATCTTCCCCTCCGTTCGCCTTTCCCCCCACCTATCCAAGACAAACGTTAAAAGGCTTGAAGAAAAAAGTCAGCTTCAGACAGTGGTGTAATTGCCTTTTGCTGAAGTTGCAATCACCATGCTGGTGTTCAGTGATTTTCTTATTTCTTTTTTTTTTTGTACAAAACTAAGTGGTGGTGAAAATGGATATTAACTGCAGAATTGGGAGGGGAGCAGTACATTTCCTTTGGTATCTGTTTTAAGTATCCAAAGAAGCAAAAGCAGTAGGAAAAAGTGACTCCTTAAAAGTTTTAAGTTAAGTTCAAGCAGCACTTTTGGTGTTGATCCTATTTCCATAGAATTCTTAACTTTTTACTCCCCTTGCTTAAAGAAAATGGCACTAGACTCCTCTGTTAGGAGGGTTGCAAGCTTGGCTGTTGGGTTGTCTCATCAAGTCTCTAATTGCTGTACATGTAATTTGGCAATTTAATAATGGTTTTTCAAGATGGAAGAGCCAGTTTAAAAGTCAGAACATGATGAAGATGACCTTGAGTAGGTAATTTGATTATCAGCTGCTGTGCTGCTTCAAAAACCCCAAACCATGCACAAAAATGGTTTTACAAAGTTGTTGGCAGTCAGGACCTTGGTCTTTGCATTTCTGCCTCTGGAGGAGCATTTGGCTTGCACAGTCCTTTTGTGGAAAGCAGAGATGATACCATAGCTCCTTTCACTGAAAAACCATTCACTGCACTAACCTCTTACAGGAGCCAGTAAAGCGTGTGACTTACGAACTTTAAAATGGATTTAAGTGCAGTCTCCATGATGGAGTCATTAGGGATGTTTCCACCTCAGTCACAAGTGCCATCTGTCGTATTGCAAACACTCACTGTCAGGCACTGAAGTATCTTCCACTTTCATGCTGAAGCTATGAATAATGCCTCCTTTCTTCTCCTGGTACTGAGACAAGCCTTCCTTTTTTCTGCACAAATGGTTATCATAGTTACGTGTTGGTGGTTTTATCTTCTGGTTTTAGTGTCTCCTGCAGTCAGCTGCTTTTTTTTTCATTAGAAACACTGAGAATTCTGTTCTGGAGTCAAGTTTTTTGTGTGATCACCCAGACTTGTTTACTTTGACACAGCATTTGATTATTGCCCCATTACAGTTTGGTAGTAGACCAATGCTCGGGGTTTTCATGCCCAGCAGAATCATAGAATTGCCATGAACAGGGGTAGCAGGATAGAGCTTTCCGTATAAGCACATTTTCTCTTGAAACAAGCACAGAAAAGTCCATGGGTATTGAAACAAGTGCAGAAAAATCCATGAGTATTGATTTCTATTGGGAACAATTATTTTCCGTCAGAATTGTTCTTTCTTGCTTTTTTTATTGGCCTTCTTGAAGTATGTTGCAGAATAATGAGTTTTTAAAGGAGGAATTTGATCCTGAAATGTTTTTCATTTCTCTTCCTTTTGTGTGGATGGCTTTCCAGCCTTTAACAGGGAGAAGAGACGTGCAGCCAAGCCTGCACTAGTCATGCCTGCCGCCTCCTTTTCCACACCATGTTTTTGTATATGAAAGGCAGGGGCTCAAATTAAATTAACACCTGAAGGCTGTGCGGGAAGACTCCAGGAGCAGGCAGCGCCACAGTGTGCTCCCTTTAGATGTGAGCGCTTGTGATTTCACAGCCCTTATAAACAGCCTCAGAGCCAAGCTCTTCTGAAACAGCAGGGTGAAAGAGGCAGTGATCAACAGTAGTGTGTGTGTTTGGGGGGTGAGCTGCTTGTGGTTTTCAGTACGTCAGCCTCTTCTGAGCTGCTGCACATCCTTCTGCCCTGGGAAGGAGCAGGCTTTGGTCTGACCACATTCAAGACACTCGAGTGCACTTCCGTTCTCTGAGCACCCTTTGCTATACAGCTAAGCAGTGGTGCTTGGGTCTTGCACCAAAGGATGTGCCAAGCCTGTGCTCTGTTGCAGTTGGCTGTGGGTGCTGCCTTCCTGCCCTGTGCCCTGCAAACTGCCTCCACAGCCAGAGCACCACCAGTCCAGCTTCTCTGAGTGTGTTGACATCTCCTGCACCCCTGTTGCTTACTAGAGGGACAAGTCTCTTTCTGAAGTGTTCTGAGCTGCAAAATCTGTTGTTTAAGGTAACTATTACAAATACTGTAGAAGAAAAGCACGCTGCTTCGGCCTGCCAGCAGCACCAGTGTGCTGGCCTGTCACTCCGGTGCTCTGTTTCCCCTTGGTCACATAAGAACACCAAACTGATTCCTAGGGCAAGCTGGTTTTCTCTCTCAGTTGTGTTTCACACAGCTTCCAGTTCTCTCTGCGGTGCTGCTGGATACTTTTCTCTGTTATAAAATTACACCATCAATGATAGCAAAGACATTCAGTGTATTAATTCAGACCCATACTTCAGGAAACTGCTTTTTTCATAAAGGAGGAAAATAAAATCCTTGGACTTGATTGTTGCAATAAAATCAGAGTTTAAATTCTGCAGGGCAAGTCTGTATCTAGAAATTCTTATACATGATCAAGCAACTGCTGCTTCCCAAGTTTCACAGTCAGCTGAGTTGGGGCAAGTATGAAACAGTTGACCCAGTACGGGCCATAGGCTCTGAGCATATACTCAGGCAGTTACTGCACTTGATCCATCTCTGCAAGTGGTGCAATCTACAGGAACAGGCACCCAAGTCCTGATGGGGTGTGTTTATGTGTTGGGCTCATCAGGTTCATGGCTGTTTATCCCAGATACAAACTCTTACCTTCCCTGAAGCAGGTGTTCTGCCATGAGCTTCAGGGTGCTGGGGCTTACCCTAAGTGTCATTCTGTTCTTGTAGCTGTGCTGTATTAGAGAAAATGGACTTTTGAGAGGAAGTCCAATATCCTCGAATGATGAAGTTAATGCACTAACTCCCTCTACACTCTCCTTTATATGCTTTTCATGTTCCCTATCCATTAGCGTTACCCTGCTCTTGCAGGAGGGTTGGACTAGATGATCTTTTGTGGTCCCTTCCAACCCTTAGGATTCTGTAATTCTGTGATTCCAATCCAATCCAAATTGTCATTTCTGGCTTTTTAAAACCAGTTCTTTTTAATGTTTGTCATAGTTAAAAGCCAAAAACCTTTGTTTCAGTGTTTGTGGTGATGAAGTGAATGTGTGATTTATATTGCTGCTTCAGGAAGCACAAGTAAGGGGAGGTACAATACACTCTGAAACTTCTTCCCCTGCCTCCCTGGTCACATCTGGAATTCTCTGCTGCAGCACATCTGTCTGCATCCGCAGGGACAGCCAAGGAGATGGAAGTCATTTGCAGGTGCAGTTTGGTTCCTGTTTCTGGAATAGGAAGCACAACTTGGGATTCGGGATGCCTGAACTTTGAACTTCTCAGCTCTCCGATGTGAGTGGGAATGCACTCATGTAGCTTGGAAATGTCTTCTGTATTTAAATAAAATAGCTTTCTGTCATTATGTGGGTATTTAGAGTTCTGTAGCTGTGGATCACTGTGGTCCTGGGCTTTGCTACAGCTTTTGGCTTGGGCTGTGTTTATTGCTCTCTGTGTCCCTGTCTCCCTTGGGCTGGAATCTTCTGCATTGCAAGGAAAGGGATCTTGCTGCTGTTTAACTTGAGAAAACTCTTGTTCTACTGGAGGCTTGACAACGGGCCTCAGCTTTTGAAGCCTATCTCCATGCCTCCAGTGAGATGCTGTTGGAGGACAGCTTTACGTAAGCAAATTATGTTAATACAGTTGGATGCTGTTGCTTAATGACTCTTTTACACTCTTGGCTCTATTGCTGTGTATTGCTGTATATACCCCAGTGTGGCTGATGTAGTTGTGCTGGTGTAAGGATATCTCTGGGGAGCAAATTAAAATGGAATTACACCGAGACTTCTTTCTGCAGGAGTGACTGCGTTCATGTGGTGTGTTTTATTCACCAACACCTCCCGTGGTTTGCTGCTTTCTGTGGTAGACAGGATATGAAGGGGTTGGATTGTTCGGTGTGCATTTGGTTTTACAGAGCCAGGTGTTGTTCAGCTCTTGCCCATGAACAGGAACACAAATTTGGTGGCCAGCTTTGTTGTAGGTGAGCGGGACTGTGCCATGTCTTTATGTAAGTACCAGTATAAGACCCTATAGAATTGGGGTCCTTACGTGCTCATCTGACAGCCCTGGAGAATCTGTGCTGAATGTGATAACTAAGAAACTATAAATGCCAGGCCCGTTGCTGTTCATAAATGTTTATTATCAATAGGCAGCTGGAAATGTTACATCTGAAAAGGTAGAAACACCTTGAATTTCAATAGGCTTACATTTTGGGAAAAAATTAAA